GTGAGATTGGATAATTTCCACAGCACACCTATTGATCACACGGTACACTAGTGTGCCGCGGCACAGTGGTTGCAAAACACTGAATTACAGAATCCACAAAGTATATATGGGTTGTGTTTGATCAGATAACAGTCATTTCTGGATGCACAGCCTTAAAACTGTAGATAACAAGCCCATAGGACCTATAGTTTGTAACGTGATGGTCACTTTGGAAAGAAAACTACCATATTTTTTATTCTTCTATATGAAAAGGCTAAAAAGAGTGATTCATTGGTTTTCTCCCTTAAAGATGAGAACCACTACCCAGGTCTGTTACACCACAGCTTTAATCCTTCTAATCTATTCAACATTAAACAGGCATTTCAACCTTTACAGGTCCATGATGTGCAAAGCCTTTCCAATAAGAAACTTTTAACAACCTCAGTTCTTCTCCAAGTCTTAAGAGGCTGCCTTCTTTGTGCAGATGACTAAACTTTTTCTATCCCGTGGTAATATCCTCTGTTCAGGTCTGTCTGCCCCCAAACCAGAGAGCCTCTGATGGTCCCTGTATTTGCTATGTATGCTACTAAAGACACATTTATGTTGCAAATATAAGAGCAACTGTACACTAAAAGGAAACTCACAGTTTCATTAACTCGTTTACAGAACATGCCGAGCATGAAGACAGCGGCCACAGGTGGAGTGAGATAGCTGGTGATTGACTGGATGTAGTCAAAGAGCTGACCACTCTGGGCTGACTGCACCACAGGGATCCAGGCTATGCTTATTCCAATAAGGACCACAATAAACACCCTGAAAGGAAGAATAAACAAAGAATAAAGGCTATAGCCAAGCATGAAAACAGTAATCATATTAACATCAAGCCAACACAGTTTTACCTGCCAGCAATCATCAGTTCCCTCTCTTTGGCACAGGGACGGACCTTAGTATAGATGTCCATGGTGAAGAGAGTACTAGCACTGTTAAATATTGAAGTAAGGGAGCTCATTAGTGAGGCCATCATCACTGATAGCATCAAACCCCTCAGACCTGAAGAGAGACAGACAAAGGTGAAGGAAAACATAAAGAAACAAAAGTGTTGATTGAAATTTTAAGACAATGTTGTCGATCCACTCACCATTTGGCATAAGATCCAGAACCAGTTTGGGATAGGCAATGTTGGTGCATCCAACACTAGCTCCACAGTGTTTCATACATTCTTCCGGGACCACACATGCCACCACATCTGAATGTTTTAAGAAATTGTTTACACTTTATTGTTGTTTTACACCAGATTTTTCCCTCAAGACAACAGAACTTGGAAATAGAAAAACACGCACCAGGATACAGGATCCTGCTTATCATCCCAGGAAAAACCATGAGAAACATGGGCAGCAGCTTCAGGTAACCACACAAAATGCAACCTGCTTTCACATGAGAGAGACTCTTGCCTGAGAGGCAACGCTGGACAATCACCTGCACAAAAAGACGGAGCATTTAAAGGCAGTGTTAAATACTTAATTCTTCTACTGTATCAAGAAAAATGTTTGGATTTTTTTAGCAGAGCTTTTGCTGCTTTACGTTATTTAAAGTTCCTCACTCATAAAAACTCTAAAGTAATTTCAATAAATTGTAATTGGTTGTGGTGAATGTGCCTGTAAATGAATAACTATTTCTGTGCATGCAACTTTGAGTGAGCAGATGAAGCACAAACATATTGATGATTTCAATTTAAGGCAAATGGAGCTTTTGAGATGAATCATTTGAACTGAGCCATAAATTAATAAATGGCAATGTTAGAAAACAAAAGCTAAGTAAAAGTATGACTCATAGTAATATTAGGATAACGACTATTACATGCACTGGACATTTCTTATCTTTTGTTAATAAAAAACAACATGGCAGATGTGGCTATTGACAGTCGTTAGATTATACAGTATGTCCGTTTACCTATACATTAGACACATTTAGCATAGCTTGTCGTGCACATTACATAGCAACAAAACATAAACATCATTCACTATGACTAAAATTATTTCAATGAAAGCTAACCAACAGAGACACACACAAGTACTTTCTCTCATTTGAAAATGGGTCAAATTTGGTCTGTTTTACATTTACTGTCGGTGTTAAAGTAAAAATAGGATGCCATTATTTATTAGTGAACTGAAGAATTTGTGTTTAGGCATCTATAGGTTCAAAAAATCTCAGGAATTCAGCTCATAGATCAACCTTTTACTCCAAAGAGCTGTAATATGACATGGCTCTTCACTATCAGCTTAGACGGCCTCAGGGATTCTGTCCAAAACAGGGAGATAAAAGGCCGTGAATGTGTGGCACTATGAAAGAGAACCAGGTATGAAAATAGTAGCCCCCCATTTTATTTTTATGCTGAAGATTACTTACAGCCAGAAACTAGCGTTAGAATTTATTATATCTAGCAATGTATGAATTTCGCCATCAGAGGGCGCTCAGCGCCGTATGTAACAGCGGTTGACGCTCTGGCAGGCTGAAGAAGTCCGCCATTGCTGAGAAAACAGCTTACAGCAGATATTAGGAGCAGCTACTGTAACTGCTGTGCTTTCTGTTCACAGGCAAGCTGAGTCATAAGTAGTATATATAGATTATAAAGCTAGTAGCCTTTGATAAATACCATCTGGCAGAAAAAGGTGCTTCAGCAGAACTGATCTGCTGAGCTGAATGTGTAGCCGGAGTTAGCAGGAGACTAAAGTAATGATTCCAATGGTTTGCGCTCGTGTGGGCTCTGCTGGTCAGCTGTAAAAGGGCCGGAACATATTTTCTAAATATATGTTGTTTGAGTTCATTTTATGAAAGTTATGTTGGAGGAGATGTACAGTGACGTCAGTAGTGAGTATGTGAGTTTACTGTTGTGCCGCTCTTTGATTACTGATTGACGCTCTGGTACGCTGAAGAAGTCCGCCATACTGAGTCAGTGGAATTAAAGCATCCACACAGTCAAAGGTACTGATAGTATTTTTACTGACCTGATCAGTGCACCAGTACCAGGTGGCCTGGATGGTGAGTCCAAACACCATGCCGGGCCAGGGCAGGTCTCCTGTTATTGGATCTCTGAAAAGGTGGAAGGTGTCTTTCCGAGGTTCATAGCACTCTGCACTGATGTTAGAGGTGTTTGTGGGAATTGCAGCCATGTAGAGTGTCTCGAAATTTGCATAACCCCCCACTTCATTGAAAGCTGAGGGAAGAAAGGAAGATATGGTTAGACAAGGCTCACTCTTCCATTTCTTAATGATGTCACAATGAAACAAATCAATGGTGCAAGATAAAATGATAAATAAGGATTATTGCTTATTACCAAAACCCATGAGAATGAAGGATCCAATAATCATGATGATGGTCTGTAAGGTGTCTGTATATATCACCGCAGCCAGTCCACCTGAAATAAAACATGGCGTTGGCAGTCTGTAACATTTTTTTATTCAGAAGTGTAGACAGTAATATGTGCACCAGAGTATAGGATTATCTTGTTTTTATGTCAGTGTTCTTTTCCCGCTTGTCTTGTAGAGGTTATGTGAAGGTGTGTGCAGATTATTGCAGAGCAGCAACTATTAGAGGCTTATCGTAATCCATCGGCAATTAACCACAAACACACCACAGATATACAAGCCAGGAAAGGAGGAGTTTTCTCTTTACATGTGTTTTTGATCTACCCAGTACATTCAGCCTTGAGAAGACTTTACCCTCACTCAGGGTGTCATTTACATAGATAAGACATTTTGTAGGCAAGGTTTATGAGAAAAATGTTGATCTCCAAAAAGGAAGTGAATTTCTTCCTGAGGATGCACCTGTGACGGTGTACAGTGCAGTAATCGCCAGTAGAGCGATAACAGCAACGTAGATGTTCAGTCCAAGAGCCTCCTGGATGAAAATGGCACCAGAGAACATGTCGGCCTGGGAGGAGACAGAAAGGATCTTTTACTTTAATTTGTTAAATGAATTGTTGAAAGGTTCAAAGGTT